TTTTATATTGATTTATCAAATAAGTCTGAAGTAGTAGTATGAATCATTCTTGGAATAATCAGAAAATGTATAATACCTTCATGATATCACTCATTCTATTTTAAGCATCTGATTTAATTTATTATTTCATTAGCTTCTAGTTTCCCATTTAAATGCCACAGTAGGCTAATGCCATGAGCTTACTGTCTTATTTTCCCTGATTGATTGATTGATTGATTGTGAACTCTGATCATAACTGTTCATTTTGCATATATGTTAGTGTAGATTTAGAAATTGGGAGCCAGACTGGTATAATAGATGAAGGCACCAAGCTAGAAACCAGGAGATTGTGAATTCTAGTCCTGCCTTAGGCACAAAGTCAGCCAGATGACCTTGGGCCAGTCCCCCTCTCTCAGCCCTAGGAAGGACACAAGGGCAAATCACTTCTGAAAATGTTGCCAAGAAAACTACGTGAACTTATCCAGGCAGTGGCTAGGAGTCAAGACTGACTCACAGGTATACAAGCATACACACACACACACACACACACACACACACACACACAGATTTATGAGTGACCAGAGGAATCATCATTCTGTGGATTGCTTTCAAGTTTCTGAAGACATTCTCATCATAAGGATGAGTATTTCCTCTCTGCAGCCTTCAGAAAAGTAGCCCTCTTGTTAAAGAAGAATATTGTATTTTGAATTCTAATTCATTTGTGCAATGCCAGCATGTTTTATAGCATCATGGTGATTGGTGATGCTTACTAAGATTAATAAATGCTCAGCTTTTTGATTAACTAAATGACATGTACTACACTGTGTTTTTATGGATTTTTATAGAAAACATATATTCTAGAATACATTTGAAATGAACACTGTAAATGTAATTTAAAATTGCAGTATGAAATAGTTTTGAAATTGAACAGCAAGGTATTCTGAAACAGGAGATTGTAGATTTTAAAAATTATATTTATATTCTGAGAATATAATTATATCTTTAATAAATTGTTTTTTGGGGTTTTTTTACTGTTGAGATGCTCCTTATTAAATATAACTGTTCTGGTAAATTACAGGCATAACACTTTGATGTCTGCTTTGATCAATCTTGTATGCTGTGTTGGCCTTATAAATCAGAGTCCATGCATCTACAGTTAGCATTTCTTTTTCAGGTCAAAACTGGACTGGGAAAAGATAGTTCCAGGCAGATACTAAATAGGTTTGGTTTCCCCAGTCAAATGATGGTGTCCAATAATTTATGAAATTCAACTATTTGATGGTCATGTAGTCCTTCCTGAAAAATCTTGCTCTGTACTCATCTACTAGTGGCCCATTACCCATTATGGAGAAGATATTTGAAAATGTGGTGGCAGTAACTGCTTTTCTAGAGCCATTTCCGTTTAGGTGGAGATCTGTTTTTTAGCCCGAAACAACATTGTCAGCCCTTTATCCAGACCTTTGTTGTGACTTTTCTTGGGAGAAGAATAATGGGAATGCAGCCTTGCTATTCTTGCTTGATCTCCCAGTTGTTTTTGATATCATTGACCATAGTATCATACCACAGAAGATTACCTCTGAGAGTTAAGAGTTAGGGCACTTTTCTATAGTAGTTCCATTTCTACTTGCAGAGTTGATTGTTAATGGATAGTAGTGAGTGAATTTTTAAAAAGAATTTACCATCTTGTCCTCGGTGCCGTTTAATGTCTGTAGGTAGGTGAAGTTATCAGGAGATGCAGAGCATCATGTAATTTGTATTAGGAGAGTCTGAGGTTTCCCACAATGATGTCTGGGTATCGTGATGGGCTGGGTGAGGCCAAAAAAACTGATAGCATGATGTTGAATGGGTGGATGTTTTCACAGTCCAGGGAATAGGAATTTTACTTATCATAGATAGGATTAAATTTGTCCCTTCTACATATTTATCATTATATATTTTTGCTACTGTACTTAAAACAGATATCAAACCCTCAGTGTGCAAGTATCTGAATCCCACCTAAAAACTGGCATTAAATTGAGTATTTTCCAGTCCTCTAGTATAGAAATGATACACATACACATGAATACATATACATATATACAAGTATATATACAAACATCAGTGCCCTCTGTCCAGAGTGCAGTGCTAGGAACAGCTAAGATACCGCGCAGAACCTTCAAACTCCCAGCCCTCTGGTCGAGGACCCTAGATTGAAGAAGACACATACCACCCATAGGGGGTGAGAAGAGATTTTTTTTTATAGTATAATTCCACATATTTTTGTTAAAAGGTCAGCAAATTAACACTTGAATTCAGCATGATTTCAGATTCTTAATTTGTCAATAGAGATGAGAACTTAATCTCATGTTACCACCCAGGATCTTCTCACAGAAGCATTGGAGCTAGTGTGAATATGTTTACAGTTAATCATGATAAATTGTAATCTACATTTATCACTATGTGCTATCTAATAGTTTTAAGTGGAAACGTTAAGCGCTATATCCAGAATATCTGTTTTTATAGCAGGTTTTCTGCCATTGATTTATAGTTTCTTTTCCATATATTTTGTGCTATCTCTGAGCAACCATAGGGTGGGAAAATTATTCTCTATATTTTTCACTTTTTATTTAAGAAATTGCATAGTTATTTAGAATCTTACAGTTAAAATGAGCCATTTAGGTGGTTAAGTCCAATGCATTGCTCAATGCAGAAATCCAAATTAAAGCATCTCTGACAGATGACTGTCTGGCCTTCATTTGAACAGATCCAATGAAGAGAAGCTCACCATTTATCTAGGTAGTGAGTTCTATTGCCAATTTCTTTTGTGTTAGAAAGGTTTTCTTTTTCCTAGCATTCAGCTGGAATCTGTCTTCATGATAGCTAAATCCATTATTTCATGTTTTACAATGTAGAATAATGAAAAACAGTTCTTAACCTTCTGCATGATATCCTTTTAATTATTTGAAGAGTGTTATTTCGTTCGCCCTCAATTTTTCTCCTCTGAATGCTAAACATATCCAGCTCCTTCAGTCTCTCCTCATAGGATTTAGTTTCTTGTCATCCTCACTTTCCTTGTCTGAATCCTCTTAAACTATAGTGTTCCATAATAGTCTTACCAAAGCAGAATAAAATGGAAAGTTTATTTCTCATGATTTGAAAATTATATTTCTTTGATGCCACCTAAAATTATACTTGCCTGTTTTTAAGACTCTTCATAATGTTGGCTCATATTCAGTTTGCAATCAGTTACTATTCCAGGATCTCCCTTTTTTATCCTCAAAACAATATTCCCATGAGATACACTTGTCTGAGAGAGAGTGACTGGCTGAAAGTCTTCCAGTGAGCTTCCATTTCCATGGCTGAGGATAAACTTGACTCTTGTCTTCCAGGTCCTAATCCAACATTTTAACCACTACATCGCACTGGCTCTCTTATGGCATCCCACTTAATACCTCATTCCAGTTTGATAAGGAACTATTGATGATCATTCTTTTGCCATTTTCAAACCAGCTATGTATTCGCTTATTTGTCATGCCATCCAACCCTCAATTAACTTACTAATCAAAATGTCATATGATGCTTCATCAGTGCGTTGATGAAATTAAAATATATTGTTTCCATGGCATTCCCCAATTTACTAAGGAAGTTACCTGATCAAAACCGTTAATCTGGCAACACTTGCTCTTTACAAATCTATGGCAATTTCTAGTAAATACTGCACTGTTTATAAGAGTGTTTCTTAAAGTGTGGTCCTAGTATCCCTGGGGATCCCCCAAGACCATCCCAGGGGTCTGCAAAATCAAAATTATTTGCCAGCCTATGTTGAAAAATAATACAGTATTAAAGTTCCATCAAACAACCATGAGAAGCAGTAGTGGCAGCACATTTTAATAATTATTTTTAAATTATTAAATTAATAATCATATAAAATTAATTAAATTAATCATATAAAATTAATTACATTAATATGATAAATGTAACTCATACAAACGAAAGCTCTTTTGGGGTCCTCCATAATTTTTAAAATCGTTTAAGGAGGTTTATAAGGTCAATCACTTTAGGATTTGCTCTAGAATTTTCTCAGATGTTGATGTCAGGTTGATTAATGTTTAATTTCCCAGAATGAAGGACAACATTTACCCTCCTTAGATCATCTGCCATTTCACCTTTTCTCCAGAATTTTTAAAATATAATTAATAATGGTTCAGCTAGACCATCATTTAATTCCTTTAGTACCCTAGGATGGAATTTTATGGCCCTGGAGATTTAAACTCATTCAGAATAAAGAGATATTTCTTATGAATCTTAAGTTTCGTTCCTGCCCTTTCACAACTGGCTGATTTACCTTCTGTATGGAGAAAACTGGACCAAAATAGGAATTGTATATAAATTCTTTGTAATCAGTTAGCATTTTCCTATCTTCAATGAACAACTGGTATAGTGGGTGTTTTTTTCCTTTTATTTTGAACATATTTAAAGAAGCCATTTGTGGTTGGCATCCTTTGTCAATATCAGCTCATTCTGAACTTTAGCTTTCCAGATGCTCTTTCTACATTCCAGGCTACCAATCTATGCTCTTACTCTGTGACCTGTTCCTCTTTCTGTTTCATATATGTGCCCTTTTTCTGTTTTCAGATCATCATTAAGCTTTTTGTGTAGCAATATTGGTTTTTTCTGTCCTTCTTTGTTTCTTCCTATTGAAATTTTTTGCAGTTGTATTAAGAATACTATATTAAATCTTCCTTTTTAGGAATTCTTATCTTCTTCCCATTATGTTCTCATATCACGGAATTCTTCTGATCATTGCTCTGAGTTTATTAACATCCACTTATTTTGAAATCCAGTATATATATTTACTACATCCTATTTTAATTTCCCTTAAAATCAAAAACTCACTTGATTTTAACCATGTGATTGTGGAATACCCTGCTTTTCAGAGTTGCCTTAATTGTATTTTCAAGTGTTTGTCATCCTTTGTACATCTTATTTGGAAACAAGCAACACTGAACTATGTTATAATTTGCTCTTCTATCTCTTCACAGGTCTGTTAGCTGCTTGATATTTCAAGATGCCGCTGGTAAAAAGAAACATAGACCCTAGATATCTTTGCCATACAGCTCTGCCACGAGGCATCAAGAATGAACTGGAATGTGTTACCAATATTTCCTTGGCAAATATAATAAGACAGTTAAGCAGTCTAAGTAAGTATCTAATTTATTAAGAATTAATTAATTTTAAGGGTAAATTTCATATGGCCAAATCTGAGTGGCTCTACCCCAAATCCTATTCCATCATGTCCATCTCTTTATTTTTTTTTAAGATGTGTTATTCTCCCACCTCCTGTGTATTTAACAAAGTGTTCTGTGTGTAGCTTTATTGTTGAATATAATGGTCATAAAAGAACTGACATTTCAGAGACTTTACAAGATTTATATAAAAACTATTGGGTGCATATAAAGTATTGCACTGGAATTGCACTTTTCTTTCTTTTATTTTTTTTCCTTCTATTCTTTACATCTTTCCTTTTTTCTCTCTCTCTGCACCTTTTACTCTTTCTTTCTATTCTTTCTTTTAGTTTGTATTAGTTTTTACTATTATAATTATAATCTTTAATAAAATTACTATTAAAGTATTGTACTGGAACATAGACAGTGGGGCAAAAAAGTATTTAGTCAGCCACCAATTGTGCAAGTTCTCCCACTTAAAAAGATGAGAGAGGCCTGTAATTTTCATCATAGGTATACTCATTTTGACCCCACAGGGTGAGATCTTGCATGGAGTCATTTTGACCCCACAGGGTGAGATCTTGCATGGAGTCATTTTGACCCCACAGGGTGAGATCTTGCATGGAGTCATTTTGACCCCACAGGGTGAGATCTTGCATGGAGTCATTTTGACCCCACAGGGTGAGATCTTGCATGGAGTCATTTTGACCCCACAGGGTGAGATCTTGCATGGAGTCATTTTGACCCCACAGGGTGAGATCTTGCATGGAGTCATTTTGACCCCACAGGGTGAGATCTTGCATGGAGTCATTTTGACCCCACAGGGTGAGATCTTGCATGGAGTCATTTTGACCCCACAGGGTGAGATCTTGCATGGAGTCATTTTGACCCCACAGGGTGAGATCTTGCATGGAGGAGGAGATCTGCATGGAGGAATGGGCCAAAATACCAGCAACAGTGTGTGAAAACCTTGTGAAGACTTACAGAAAATGTTTGACCTCTGTCATTGCCAACAAAGGATATGTAACAAAGCATTGAGATG